AGACCTTTTCCCGCCGCTCCTCCAGGAGGACCACCCCCTCCACCTCCCCGCCCACCTCACCCCGGCGCAAGGTAAGAACTCTCCGCGGTGGGCTCCGCTCCAGGCTCGTTCCTGAGGTGATTTTTTTTGTTTGTTTGTTTTTCCTACAAGAACGGGAAGGACGGCAGGTGGGCGAGGGGCATTTTCTGCCTGGAGAGAAGGAAGAAGGCGAACTGGCAGCGCGGCGGCGCCCGGTGCGCTCGGGCCACCCGCTGGACCGATTCGCTGCAAGTGGCTTTGTCCCGCTCTTCTCAGCCAATTCCCGTCAAGAATGCAAGTGGCTCTGTTGGCTGCAGGCGCTCGTGTTCACCCCAGAACATAATTTAATAAGTGGACCTGTCAGGAAGTGGCCTCGGTTACGGGGACTCACGCGAGGCGAAGGGAGTGAGACAGATGGCGAGAAGCTGTGTCTGCCTGCGGGTCTGACGGGCTCTCCACCCTGCCTCCGTCCACCCATCCTGCCCTGCACGCTGCTCCTTAGTTCTGAGCGAGCAAGTGCTGGTACCGGCGTGCAGCCCGCGCCAGTGCAGAGCTCCAGCCAGAACTCGGGGGGCGTCCCGCTCGCGGAAGGGAGGGGGCAGGGTCGCTGGGTGGGTTATACATGTCAAGAACTTTCAACACACCGCGTCCCCTCTGATACATATATGTTTTACCTCGAAGGAGATGGGGTTTGTTTACCACACCACAAGACAGAGTTGAGGCTCCTTAGATAATGAGTTTCACTTTAGGCGATAGGACATAGAAAATTTACAACTGTCCTGTGGTAACACAGATTATCTCCGGTTACTTCTTCAGCTTCATACTGTAAGTATTGTGTCCTGAGAAACTACCTCATTGATTAATGATGATTTCCAGATCACAAGGGATCATTAATTCATCTGAATCTTAATTAGCCTACCCTGGAAGATAGGCAATTGTATTTGAATCTTGATTTGTCTTAGTTCATTACTTTATAACTTTTTATACAGTCCATTCCTGTAACCACCAAGGCATCTTCTCAACTTCTTCCCAATGACCTTAAGAAACTTCTGGGTTAAACAAACAAACAAGAAATGCGAAGGACAAAGATGATAGAAAAATATATGATGTGTAGAAATCTTCCCTTTTTTTTGTTTTGCTTTGTTTTGTTTTGTTTTGTTTTTTCTATTTAAACTCACTGAAAAGTGCACAAGCCAATATATATATTTTTAAAGTTCCAGAACACGTAAGTCTATTCTACTTCAATTTGTAAATGAAGATATAATTCTTTCCTGGATCTAAAATTAATTAAACTCTAAATGTCATTAAGCATCTATATATCAGAATACTGGTGGAACAGTTGATAATGTGTTTAGAATCACCAGGGATAGCGCAGCATCCACAGTTAGGAAGAGTGAATCACAAGTGTGCAACAGTGAGGTTTCAAGTGATCTCAGCCCTGACTTTAGCATCTTTAGTGCTATATATATGAAGAGGCTGTTTATTTTAGCTAAGCTGCAGTACAACAAGACATTTGCATGGAAGAATAGGTTAGGCGTTACTACTAGATGAGGTTTCTCAAATGTCATATAACTGCAAGGCTGGTGATAAGTCAAGTGCAATCATTAGTAAAAATTCCATGAGAAAATTGTAAATATAGCTATGTCATGGAAGAACCTTTGAAAAGCTTTTAAAATTCAGCTTGCTCTGGCATAGCATTTGCTGTGTCCAGGAAGATATCGGCATTGTCTTTTTAAGTGTTGTGGTATAAGGATTATTACACATTTGTTCATGCCCCAGCAGGTGGCAGCTAACTAGAATAAGATTCATTTTCACTGGGAGAATAGGAAACTAAAATCGCTTCTCAAGTAATAGTGCCCAAGAATAAGAGGTCATTAGTGTCAGCAAATACAGAAATACAGTGAAAGATGAAGCTAATGACTTTTTGTTGTTGGAACAAGCTTTACATGAACATGATATGCGTTTTCTTTTTTGTTAATTTGTTTAGCCTTGATATTTCTTCATGTTAGCCTTCTGTGGTATTATTTTTTGAGACTTACTTTTATACACAGACTCTCTCTGTGTGTGCATATTATGTGTATGTTTGCAGTTTGTCATCTCTGTTTTGACCTTGGAACCTACAGAGCTTTGAGTCCTAGAACTAAATGTTGCCATATGTTGAAAATGAAATGAGACCATAGAAAATAGTACAAATTTCTCTCTATATAATATTTATATGTAAAACCACTTGACACCTTATAGCAGTTTTTCTTTTCCTTTTAAAAAGGACCAAATTACAGAATTGACCACTTTGAAGGAGAGTTACATCTGCACAGTGAAATATTGTATAATGACTATTAATTCTTCATATAGCCTCAGAATTATGATGTATAGTATCAGAATTGAGGATAAACTTGTAATAACTTCAAAACTGCCATACAATAAGACATCTCCAACCATCAAACCATTTTTCAGTATTGGAGAGGTAAATTTGGGATGTGTATGTGTGTGTGTGTGTGTGTGTGTGTGTGTGTGTGTGTTTGTCCTAGGGAGTGAGTGAAGCTTAATGAGGGAGAATTAAAATTAATCTGATTACCCTTGTAACAGATGGAAATCTGGAGGTGGAGATTTGAAAGTGATAACTAGTTGTACATTTTAGAAATGTCTTTAGCCACTGAATATTGACAGCCTCTTATTTGGTATCCTGAATTTTTTATGGTCTTTCAGGCAATTTATTTTTGTACTGAGAAACAAATAGTTTAGTGTTCATGAGGGAACTCACCATAAATGTAAGTGGCTTTTGTAGTAGCATGCCCTGGAAAGGATGATTATTAGCACATTCTGGGGATGTCAAGCAATCCCAGAATGTTACACTGAAAAATACACACAACATAGTTGAGAAAATAGTCCTTTTGAAAATGGAAACAATAAAATAATTCAGATTCCCTAGCATAGTAGAAATATGCACATTGTCACTTCAACTGGCATATTACACATTCATTGTACTACTTTCAAAGTACTTCTCCAGAATAAATCAATGTGTGGAGCGCTGTCCGAGGTCCTGAAGGAAGGTCGTCTTCAATCTTGCAGAAGTTCAATTGGACAGGTGCAGTTGCTGTCTGTCTTGCTAAAGTCTTTCAACTTAGTCGGTGGATGTAAATGAACTTAATTTAGCATATGTACAAAATTGGTTCTTTAGGGACCAATTATAGTAAGGACATTTTGTTAGACTTCTTACTGTTTATAAGAACTTAAAGAATCTGGCAACTTGATCTTTCACTTTTCCAACTAGAAGTTCAGTAAATAACCCTATACAAACTAAACAGTTTGCCAGTTTTGAGTAGATAAGTTACAAACATATTGTAAAATGTCAAAAGAATACATGAAAAAGGAGTTATGGATCATTTTGTTTTCTTAGGTTCCACTAAATGCCAGCTACAGTGAAAAAAAAAAAAATCATATTTATGGTTTACCTGGTAGTCATTTTTATCTATGCTAAGATCAATAGGAAAATGAACAAATAGAATGGAATAAGCAGACAGCAAATACAAGACAAAACATGTTGGGCTGTGTATGCTTTACAAGAGATATTTTAAACATGGACTGAAGGAGTCGCTAGATACCCTTGGTTTTAGCACTAGGTGTTCCTTTTAAAGTGCTCAAATAGTCGAATTATTTGATTGAATTGCCAGCTAGACTGCAGAACTAGCCATTCATGATACTTATTTTTGACACTGCAGTTATGCCTCCATCTTAAAAAAAAAGAATCAATGCCACTGAAAATGCAGATTTTTTCAAATCGGCATTTTATAATATCTTAAGAAAACATAGATTGAAAAAATATCAGAATGATGGAATGAAAACATTACAGTGTGTACCTGCTAGTTAGAGGAAACCTAGCAAGACAAGCAATATTCATATCGCTCCTTATTTTGAAATTTTAATTTTCTTATAAGATGTAACCTATGCCTTGTTAGTTGGTTATGAAAAAGAGACTAATGCTAAGATAAGGTCCAACAGTTTGCCTCTTGTGCTGTTCAATCATATGAAAATGTTAACAGTGTTTTTTTTATTATCTGTTAGTTTTATTTACTAATGTAAAATATTATCATGGGATATTTTAAATCTACAAACAGTATATTTCCTATTTCACAAATTAAAATGTTATTTTTAGATAAAAAGAAAAATTATTTTTGTACTTTTCTTCTTGAAATTATTTGCTACTTAGGAAAGCCAAGAAAGTCACTACCTGGGGACTCTATATATTATTCCTATCAGAAAACTAGCAGATAATAAAACCTTTTTAGACAAAACTGTGACACTCAATGTTGCTCAAGCTGTGATCCCTTAGTCCACCTCTTAAAGAAAATAAGCATTCAAAAAATCCAAATGAGAAGTTTGAGCATATGTTATTGAAATCTTTGGAGTTTATTGCATCAATTCAAACATCAGTATCTTTTATATATGCATGATTATTGTAGATGAGATAAAAAATGAGTAGAAAATTGTGATTCTTTGATTTTAGTTCAACATTTTCTCCCTAGAAGTCCACTTGAAGGCATTTCTCTTTACTTTTATGTAGTAACCAAAGAATATTCAACTCAAGTTTTTAAAAACTATGTGCACCTCTCCAATTACATCTAATCGTATTCATCCTTGACCAAAAAAAAAAAGATAAATGTGACTTACAACCTAACTACAAATTAAACTTGAGTAAATTTCTTTTAGATCACTCCCCCCCCTTTTTTTTTTACAATTCATAGACAAAATGATTTTGACTTAGCTAGTTTTGTATTAAAAATCATCAGTTGCTTATAAAAAGTCTGCCTACATCTACCAGTCACTCTCTTAGCAAAGGCTGTTATTGAAAATAAAAGAAATTTTCTCCGTGTAAATAAATCCGACTTCTTTCTTGCAACCCAAGGCAGGCTATCAGATCGGTTGCATAATAGATATTGGGAAGCTTACTGGCAGGGAGCCTTAAGAGGCGAGCAGCTATCTCAATTTTTCTCACTTAATCTTGGCTTCACGTCAGAAGCTGTGCAGCAGTGCAGTAGAATAGGGCCTGGCAAAACCTTTGCGAGCAAAACGCCTTTTGTGCTTGGACTGTGGCTCGCTATCGACACCTCGTCCCTTCCCAAGGCTGGGTTTCCTATTGATTTTCCTCCTCCTTTGCTTCCCCAGGCTCGCGCGGCCGGACATTGTGGGTGTGCGTGCTGGATTTCTCCCGGATGCTCCCCGACTAACATGGATGTCCCACCATCCCTTGCAGTGGAAGGTTGCTCCTTGGCGCAGTGAGTGAAGAACATGCAGCGATTGCTAATGGGTTTGGGAAGCGGAGACTCCTTCCTCTTTCTGTGACCATGCCGTGATCGTGTCTGCCCCCGCCACTCCACGCATCCTCATTCCTGCCCGAACCGGGAGCCTAACGCTAGATCGGGGAAGTGGGTGCCGCGCGTGTGGGCACAGAAACACCATGAAGATTATTTCCCCGATTCTAAGTATTCCAGTCTTCAGGCGCACCATTAAACTCCTGCTGTGTTTACTGTGGATTGGATATTCTCAAGGAACCACACATGTATTAAGATTTGGTAAGATTCTCCCATCTCTCTCTCTATTGCCTGGTATCCGGCTCCGAGGCAGCCGGATGTAAACAGGAGAGTTCGCTCTGCCTGGTGGTGGGTTCAGAGCATTCCGACCTGCTCAATGTTCCCTCGCCTCCCCGGGTTTTAAAGAACCCTTTGTGTTTTTATTGATTTTTTTTTTAAAGATTTTTTTTAGCCGCGGGAGGATGAAGCGGGTGCCAGTGTGTGGTAGTGGTCGCTGCACAACCTCTCCAGCAGCCTGTCACGAAGATGGTGATGACGCTGGGGGCTCGGCCAGCTTCCCCGCCCGCCTGTCTGCCCCAAAGCTTTCACTGCTACCTCCCGCCCCCGCCTGTCTGCCCCAAAGCTTTCACTGCTAGCAGGGCTGCGCGGTGCGCGCAAAAGTGCTCGCCCAGGCTGCACGCCTCTCAGCTGGCGGGACTGATGAGTTAATATCTGGTAACTCTTTGGCGAGTTGAATAGGTCTCCATCCTGCCCGGACCTGGGCAGGTCCTCATGCGCAAATGAAAGGCGCTAACCCTTGTTATTTCTTTAGTCAGAGAGCCTTTTCTGTTAACTTCATGGCTTTTCTAGCCCCTAAGTGGGTACTGTTACCTGGAAGCCGGAGTTTTTAAAAATACTGTTGTCAGGTGCAAGGCTCTACTTCACACCCGGAGGGTGCAGTTCAGGCAGAGAAAAATAACGTCTGCAGTAAGAAAGGCTTTTTGTTTGTTTTTGTGTGTAACATTTGAAGTCCCCCTCTTAGCTTTGTGTGCATTCTGAACTAATAAATGATGGACATGGACGGTAGTAATGGGGGGGGGGAGTGGTGTACAGGAGGCTCCAAGTCTGTATCTTTATTTCATTCTGACATTATAAAAGACCCGAGGTACTTGTATTTAGGGGAAGTTGCTGCTTTCCTAAGAATCTGAGTTTCCTTGGGGCTTTAAGGAAAATGTAAACGTGGGACTAGGGTGGAAACCTTGGTCAGAGGTTTGCTTGGAGAATGAAATGTGGGCAACCCTCAGCCACTCTCAGTGGCCATTGGAGTTTTAGTAGGAGCAGAAGTAGTCAGGGAAAGTTCCCTGAAGTAGACAAGAGTGACAGGAGAGAAAGCCAACAGGGTAAACACTTCACTGTAGGCACCTCCTCTGACAGTTCAAGAGGGTTTAGACCAAAGAGTGCAGGAAACCTTATAATCCTGGGCATGTGTCTTTGAGATAAAAGCAGATACATTAGGTCACTCAATCAAATTTAAACTGAAGAGTGATTGTCTGTGTCTCCTCTCATGCCAATAGAATCTTGTGTCTCCATTTTCCTCTAATGGTAAAATTCACCGTCTTTCCCAAGCTCTGTGCAAATAAGGCTGGAGTACTTTCATGTATATTTTTAAACAGGAACCTCATCCTTCCCTGAACTCCATACACACAGAGATACCTGTAGTCACGAAGAATGGTGGTGACAAAAGACAATGGTTTATAGCTGGATTCATGCTGTAGTAGTTTCCCTGCTTTCTTCATGCCTTTGGATGGTACTTAAGCATGTTGCTCTTAGCAACAAGCATTCACAGGAATGCTGGTTTTTTTTTTTTTTTTTTGATGGAATTAAGCAGGTCCCAATGTCACTGGAAACTGTGTGTGTGTGTGTGTGTGTGTGTGTGTGTTCAGTTGTTCTGTTTCAAGCATGGTAAGTGCTCCAGTATGGTAGAGTTTTGCTGAGTATTTTGAGTAGTACAATCTTCTTATGTGGAATCCTAATCTTCTGATGTGTTTGTGAATGAATGTGCATTAGTAAATGTGTTTGCCGACTGGGTGGTTTAAAAGGGTACTTGGAGCCGGAAAACTGCCACCAATACACTAAAGATTTAATTATTGCTGCTCTGGTCTTGCAGCACAATATTTGCTGAATCATTAGATTGTTACATTCGCTGATCATTTCATATCTTCATATTAAAAATCCTGGCGACTGTAGCAGAGTGTGTAGCAGCTTTTTAAAAGAGCTGACATACACACAAAAACCCATTTCCTTAGACCATTGCTTACTAACAATGTCCTTAAGAAATAGGGTACCAGGCAAAGACCTCCACACAAGTCCCTTGATACCCTAAGCCAACAGCCCAGTTTCTAGATAACTTGTTATTTTCTACATTAACTTCCAACATGTTCCACGTGGAGATTCATTTTCTCTGATTTCTGACCTGAGTTGTAGGGACAGACTATTTTGTAATCATTGGAACATTTCCCTTTAGGGACTATTTTGATGCAGTGGTGGGAGTTTTATTTTCTTCTAGGGTAAATGTGTTCTGAGTGGATTGGATGGTTGGTTGAGCGCGTATAAGCCACTCTTGAGAATGGTTATTTTCAACTTTGGCTCCAAAGTCAAACTAGTGCCTCATCCCTGGCCCCAAGCCTAGGAGGGAAGGGGTTAGAGTTGCTGGTGGAGCGGCTGCCCTTGGACGGCAGCCCGCGGGGTGCTGGTGGGACTCACTGCCTCTGCTGGGGAGGCAGCGTGGATGGCCCCTTCCCCCGCCCCCTGCGAGGCTAGGAGCCGCCAGCCGCCCGCGCCTCTGCCGCGGCGCTATGCCGTGGCGCCGGGCCGGCGGCCCCCTCAGCCCCCCTTCTCCTTCTCCGCTGTTGTGTGCAGCTCTTCCGCCTGCTCCCACTAGGGCTGTGACTCGACCTGCGTCCTTTTGTCACCGCCCGTGAAGCCAGTGACAGCCCCCGCTCAGGGTGCTGACTCTTGCCGTGTCCTTTGCCTCCCCCGCCTGTCTAAGGCGTGAGCAATCCCCGCTTCTCGCTCTCTCTCTTAGAAACACACACACACACACACACACACACAACACACACACACACGCACACAACACACACACCCCTTCCTCACAGCGGGGAGGGCAGACACGGTCTCTCAAGCAAGGCTCAGACTTGGGCTCAGTGTTTCTTCTCTAGTGCTAAGAAAACTTTGCACCCATGAGCGCCTCTGTCCAGCTCCTTCCCCCTGCTGCCGTCTCCCCCTTCTCCCAGCTGGACTCCCACCTGGCCGCCAAGCCAGG